ATAACTTCAAAATTACTCTTACAAATAAAATTTGTTCTGGGGGCGCTGCCCTCAGAAACTCCCGCAAGGGCGCTGCCTCTTGACCCAGTGACCTGACCGGGCAGGTCAAATCCCGCCAAGGGGCAGCGCCCCCTTAGACCCCCAGCAGCCCGTCATATTGTTGTATTCATCATCATTAGTAATAGTTGTTAGTGTTAGTATGTTTCTTCATGAGTGCATGCTTTGTATAAGTTTTCTTCATGAGTGCATGCTTTGATTGGGAGACATTGGACTCTATAGGAGAGGAGGAAGGGATGAGGACTTTAAATGTGAATTCTTATTTTTTAGATAGCTTGTCTTTCATTTTTAATAATATTTCATATTCATGCTTATTATTTTATAATCCTTATATAGTTTGCGCCATGTTCAAAATGGCGTGCGCCGCGCCGTGAGTTATGCACTATGGCTCCAAAGGGACCTTTGCGCCATGATGCACCATTCGCCGTTAACAGGTATGGTTGTAGGCTAAGGGAGTTTGGACAGGCCGGCCAAGCAAGCAATGGAGGGGGCGGAACCTGGAACAAAATTCAGGAAGATTTCAAGCCTCCTTCTTGGCCCCAATTAAGGACTAATTTATTATGATAGGAGGGGAATTAAGGAGGGAATTAATTAATAAAATAAATTATAAGGTGGCTAATAATGAGTAGATTAATTAGTAGATGTTTCCTAATTAAAAGGGGCTTATTTGGTGGTTGATTTGTATGAGATTAATTAAGAGATGCTTCCTAATTAAAGTGGGTTGATTTGGAGGAGATTAATTAGGAGATGTTTACTAATCGAAGAGGGATGATTTGGGGGCTGATTAATTAGAAGATATTTCCTAATTGAAGATGGCATATTTGGGGCTGATTTGAGAGAAAATTAGAGGGTTGTTTTGGATTTGCTATGTTTTGTATGCTTTAAATAAGTTTACCCTAAGGTTCAATTTTTATCTTGAATTTGGCTGAAATTTGAGATATCTTAGGTTTAGGTTTTTAGGCTCTAGCAACGTCTAGAGATTTGGGAGAGATAGATCCTCCTCTCGAATAGAGGATCAATTGTATCTTGGTATGTTCCGTTTCTATTTCATCAAATAATACAAATTATATACTGTTTTACTGGTTTTGTATGGATTCTTGCAGAGAATTTTTGTTGTTTTTCAAAGATTGATAGGAAATTCTTGAGATCTTCAAGTGTTTCCTATCAGCGTTCTTTTTGTAGGACAGGAGTAACGGAATAACATAAATAGCATATCCTATGAATGGTATCTATATTTTGAGATCCATTTCAGAATGAAGACTTCGATGAATACTAACATTTTCTTCCTATCTTTCCATGCAAAGAAGAATGCAACCACTGTAATGACTGAGGCGATATTCTTCTTCTTTATCTTGATTGATGGCAATTGAATAGCCCTTGCCCTTCTCTGGTACTTTTTCCTTAGCAATTTTGCATGGTAAGGGCAACAAGAAGGAATGGGCTGTGAACCTGAGATAATTATTTTCTCCATTGCAACTATCTATGTTGTACTTGAACTGAATCCCCAACCCTCATTTCAAACTTAAAAAGTGGCACACTAATTGTATCTCTCTTGAAATCCTAGAGTGGAACTTCTCCATTACCGATTCATAAGGGGAATCAAACTAAGTCAAAGTTCAACCAAGATTTGAGAAATAGGAGAGTTGGGACAGCAAACCAATATCACCGACTGAACTAGTTATCTTGGGTCTTTAAATACATAAAAGATAGATACTCTTCATTCACCGCAAGAATGTATTGGTAAAAAGAGTTAGCAATCAATGATTTTCTTATCACAAAAAAATCATAGTAAGCTAAGAGAAAGACATTAGAAAAGATTTTCCTATCAGCATTCTTTTTGCTAAGACAAGGATGTGGAGACTCAGGCTTGGGCGCAACGTAACTAATAGAAAAGATTCATTCCATTTAGGGAAAGTGCTCGAGACAAATAGTCAGATGATGACTGCTACACATATTATATTAGTTTTTTGTATTAGCCTAATCTATGCTAAAATAGACTAAAATGGAAGAGGAATAACTATAGGGTCTATTTTTGGGGATAGGGAAAGAAGCTTGCTTCTTCATTTGTTGATCTCACCTCATTTCCTATCCCAAGTAGTAGCAACTAGGTCTCCCATCTCTCCTCTCCTTTCAGTCGAGTGGCCTATCAACTCCTCAACTTTTCCAATCTATACCTATCTTTGTTATATTCGACTGGTAGCTCGGTTTAGAATGTCAGGGATGGAGCGGATGTCGAAAGAGCTAGGATAGCAATCAATTAGGGAAATAACATTAGCGGCCAAAGAATTGATACAATGCGGTCCAATCTACTATCGTAGATTGATTTGAGATTCAATGCAGGACCTTAAAATAGAAGCTAGATAATTGCTTCGAGCGTCTTTGGTCCTAAGGAAATGAGGTGGATTCTTTGTAGAAAGTAGCCTAATCCGCCTCTCAATCAATTATATCTAGTAAAGTCCTTGGTCCTTGCCCTTCTAATATATGTTATTCTTCTTAAAAGAAGATATATTACTTGAAGGTGGTCTTGTATCTTTAACTCTGCTCAAAAATCAACTATTGTTGAATAGGTTCTTCTCTTTGAAAATTCATCTTACTGTCTACCAACTTCAACAAAAGAAGAATTCCTTTTCTTAAAAGAGAATCCAATAGATATTCAGTGGTTGTAAGCAAGCCGGTCGGAAGCAAAGGAGCCAAACAAGGCACACCAAACTTCATTCTAAGAGTTGGAAGAAAAGACACTCTTTCAGCTAATCTTCTCTTATCCATGGAATCCAATTTAGTTCGCGAGTGTCATGTAGTTCAATTCATATATTCAACTTGATTGGTAAACCATATATTCAACATGATTGATAAGCCGATCCAATGTTGAAGAAGAAAGGCCAATTCCAATTGATTCAATCTTGGTCACTGGCAAGTTGTTATATGCAAGTAACTTCGTACTACTTTTTCAAAAAAAAAAAATATTCGTACCAGTAGAGATGTGTGAGTCTAATTTGGAATTGCTAGCAGTACAAGCACGAGTGAGTGAGTAGCTTTCACTTTCATAAGTGGCAATATCATATGGTATAGTTGTTTAGGTTGCTTTCTATAGAGAGCCTCGACATATTTCTCTGCTCCTTCATAGTCAAAACTCTCAAATTGAAGTTTATACAAGCCCCATGAACCAATTTCAATATGAAAGCCTATGGACACGGTGAGGATTAAGGGCAAAGCAGGAGATCAAAAAGAAGATAGAAAGTAAGATCCATGATGGGGCTGCAACTAAGAGCAAGTTATTTTTTCCCTTGACAATAAGGATGGGAAGAAGAGGAATCTTCCTTTTTCCAAGGTTCTAGCTTTGGGAGCCATAAATTCATCCCTACTAAGGCTTCGTTTGGGACGGCTTTCTTCCTGCTTCTTAAAATAGCTTTTTAGTACAAAAAATTTAATTTTTTATTAAAAAGCCGCTTTAAGAAGCAGGAAGAAAGCCATACCAAACGAAGCCTAAGTCTTCTAATTAATCAAGCTTGGGCTAAGAAGAGCTCCAAGTTAAGTGCTATAGAAATGAGGATACTAAGGTGGATGAGTGGCTTTACACTTGGAGATAGAATGTGAAACAAGTATATATGTGAAAAGGTTGGAGTAGCTCTAGTAGAAAATAAGATTAGAAAGAGTCTCCTTAGATGATTTGGTCACATAAAATGCCAGTTTTCCGATAAACCGATTAGGAGAGTAGATGTATTAGATATGTCTTATGTTAAGAAAGGTACAGGTAGATCTAAAAAGACTTGATTAGAAAGTATTAAAAATGACCTTGTCATTTTACATTTAAACAAGAATTTAACTCTTAATAAAACACAATGGAGAAAAACGATTCATCTAACCGACCCCACATAGTAGGATAAAGGTTTGATATTGTTGTTGTTGGGCTAAGAAGAGCTCCCCGATTCTAATTCTACATTGGACAAAGCCGGTTCTCAAGAAAGAAAGATTCAAGCCCGTGGCTCATGGGTCCAAATATCAGATAATCTAAACAAGTAGATAGAAATTTAGAACAAACAGAATATAGTATTTTCCAACTTATTGCACTATCCTTTTTGCCCTCACTAGCAAGACCTGCTCTACAAAGTTATGGCTTTCATTGGCGTAACAACCGCTCTTTTCAACTAAGACAAGCCATAGTTCTTACTAGAAGGAAAAAAAACAATGGTAGATGAAAATTCCATCGTCGATACTCTTACCTATATCCCCATCATCGCTACTCAAACTTCCTTTCCTTATATTGATGTCTTTTATTCAAATAGCTATGCTACCATCATTATCATAGCTAAAGCTAAGCGCTCCTCCTCTGTTTCCAATTCTCTTCCATTTACTTAATTCGTTTTCTTTTCTATGCACCTTGACTCACTTAAATGATTGATTCATCACTCTGTGCCTTTGAATTGCTCTGCACCTTGGCTTGGTTATAAGCCAGAACTCTAGAAAGCAAAACGAGACTTCCTGGACTTTGCCTAGGATAGCCAGTGAACCTTGGTGCTTTGCTTTTACAAGTATATTGAAATTAGATATTGGTCAATTGGTGATCTATGAACCTTTTCCGGCGTGGAAGCACATTCTTTTCAGTAAGAAGCACTCATCATTACGAATAAGATGAATGAAATGAAAGGAAAGGGACGGCTGAAGCGGTGGTTGAGTGGTGTGAATCAAGAGTGCGGACGTTTCCGTTCACGGACCTCTAAGCACAGAAAAAAATAAAGAATTGCTCAGGAGGGAAAGATAATTCGAACATGATTGCACCATACAACGCTCGTTTTGCTTCCCGACCATAGTCATACGATACAATTACCTCAATTCAACAATAAAAGGACACTTTTATCCCTGCAAAGAACCAATCAGCCATGAAAAGAACAGGATTTGCTCAATAAATAAAAGTTGTACGACCAATTTAAGACGGAGCAAAATACCTGAAAAGCTCCGCATGATCCGTGCAATATCTTGTCCGCTCTTCACCGCCCTAAGAGAATACGGATAGAGCAATCAGAGGTAATCAGAAATCAGATTTAACTATGCGGCTGCTGAGAAGATGAGATACCTGAAGAAGAACGAAACCACGGACAGGTTGAGAGGCAGCCATGAGGTGATCGCGAAGGGCACGGACGAGCTTTACTCGGTTCTGCACGTGGAGCTCCATGGGGACCTCAGGCGGAGATAACGACGAAACGGGAGAGGATTGGGAAAGAGAAGCCATGACCGTGACTGCGCTTTCGCCCATGGAGGAAGCCAGCGAGGAAGCAAAAGCCGAATGTGTCAAGCCTGAGACATGGTGTGTTGGTTTCCAGAACGAAGCATCCTTGATATGGTAAAGGTTATGTTTTTCTTTCTTACATAAATATTTGAAAATAATTATACTATATTATAAAATAAGAAATAAAAATAAAATTTTGACTTTATAGTTTATATGCCCCATAATGTCAAAAAATGAAGAAATATATTTTTTTGCAGGCTAGAAAATTCACAGCGGTAGAGCGGAGTTTTGTGTTCTAACTTTGCACCAAAATTCTGCACACAAATTGATAAATGAAAGAACATGAATCATACAAATTTTTACATAGAAAATCTGAAAAGAGAAAAAATAACATGGTTTTGCCTAATTAAAATGATTTCAATATATGAGTGTTAGTTACGAGAAATTATTGTGTGCGGAATCCGAATGCATTAGGAGACGAATTCGGATGCGCCACATCACCAGATGCACTGGGCCCCGGTAACGTGGCATGTCCGGATTCGCCTCCAAACACGTTCAGATTCTGCACACAATAATTTCTCGTTAGTTACAAAGATCTGCCAATCCCTTAACTTCGAGATAGCAAAATTATAAGAGATTGAAATTTTGACAGAAAAATATAATGGAAACCACTTAGATTTTTTGGGGCTTAGTGACAACAAGTTTGATAATGTTGGTTGTAATAATCTGAAATTTCTTGTAATGAAATTATTTGAAAATCTGAAATCCGCATTACAGTGTTGTGGTGCTAAGATGGAGGGCGTAGCGGCGTCATGCTCTTTATTCTTCAATAACTATGAATTTAGCAAGTAGCGCAGTGGTTTATGACTCCACAGCACCATGCATTAATATATGCATATTGATCTTCTTATTGAGATAATTACTATGTAGATCATGAGGATTCTTTCATAAATTGCTTAGATGGATTCAATCGAATAGGTGTATAAATCATGGCTTTTATGATGACTTGCTTTGCATGACTTTACAACTATTGCACACCAAGTGTTTGATGAAATATTGTAAATGAAAGATTGTGATATATGGTTGAGTGCCTTTATGTTGCCATCTTCATTAATATTGTTGCTACTATGAAAGCTCATTCCCATTTGGTTGCTCGCTCATATGTCCTTTTTTTTTTTAGATATTTTGCGATGTGATGGATTAGAAACATTTAGTTGTGCCAAGTTTGTTATCACTTTGTCGTCACTTGTTCATTTCGAAGGCTTTGAAGGTTTTCTTTTTGTTTATGCATATTATGTTGAAATTGATTTGGAGTGTTGAACTATGGTCATATTCCCCACCTCTTTGCTTAGTGAATAGACCAAATGGCGGCATGAAATTTCAAGCTCGAGAGGCATGCTTCTCCTTAGAAATATGAGAAGAGAGATGAATATTTGTGTGGGCTTTTGATAGTACTTGTTTGTCCCTTTTGTTTTCTCCTTGGGTGTAGTTTTGACGATGAAAAGATTATGGGCTGTTTTGGGCTTCGTTCCCCATGAATTTTGGCATTGTCGATTTTTTTTATGCTTATGAAGTTTGGTCATTTCTTGAGTTGGCATGCAATGAGAAAGGTTGGAACTTGTTGGTAAGTTTTAAGAGTTGTTTTATATTGAAAACTTGTTGGTGGACTTTGAGAGTTGTAGCAAAGTGCTTTGGGGTAAAAAAAATACATGATTTGCTTCACGTTGGAAATTTCTTAGATTTGTTTTATGTTGGAAAGCCTTGTATTTCTTTCATTTTTGAAAGATTTGGGAAAGGATTTGTGTTTTGTGGTGCTTGATGGGATGTTGATATCTTTTCAGGACAAGTTAGAGAGCATAATTTCAAAGCTTTATTTCCTTTATCTTTGCGAACAAGTTGATAGTAATCAGAGTTTGTAGATTCTTTTGTTATATATAGTTTTCTCTGAGCTTTGGGAAGGATTGTGAAGCTTTATGTTGGGCTTTTTTTTTTGTTGGATTGAGCTCTTATCAAAATGTCCCGTCTCCTACTCATATTTAGCTTCCAAATTGGAATGAAAGCTCTCTTGAAACATTTAACATTGTATAATATGAAGGTTGTTGGAGAGTTCCATAAGTTGCTTTATAATTGGAGAGTTTTATAAGATGTTTTATATCTAAGAGTTTGATGACTTTGATTGAACTATAAATGATAACTTGTTATATGTTTGTAGCTTTATTTATAATTTTGCAAAGCATCTTTCTACATTATGTTTATTACCCGGCATTAAGAGTTTTGGACAAAAGTCATTTGGATTGTTTGATATTATATTTAGTGAAAGGAGGATGTCAAAATGTTCATTTGCATTTGTTTAAAGAAGTTAGTAGTTTTTTTTTTTTTAATATTTTTGTGGATGTTAGAATGATAGAAATGTGCGTGTGTGTTGGAAAACTTCATGAGTTGTCTTTGGGATGAAAAATGTTATAAAAGTTGTTTCATATTGGAAATCCTTATGAGTTGTTTTATGTTGGATAGCTTTTATGATTCATTTTATGTGGGAAAATCATGTGATTTGCTTTATGTGGGAATATTTCGTAAGTTGTCTTGTGGTTTGAAGGTTTCATGAATGTTTGGGAAAATAATTATATTGTGCTATTTTATGATTGTGGTTTGTGTTGGGAAGGAGAATGATGCATCATCTCTTTGCATAAAGAAGAATGAATAGTCATTTGAAGTGCTTTGTGAATTTTGGAGAGTGGAGCATGTTAGAGAGTTGAACTTATTGGGTTTGTTGGGTGGTTATTGGAAAGATAGATTTTTGGCAAACATGCATTAAGTCTCTTATCCTCCCTACCCCTCTCTCTTCTCCTTCTATTGGCTTATCTCTTTCTCTTTTATCTCTTTTCTACTTATGCTTTAAGATGAAATGTGGTAAAGTGTTTGTAATGTTGAAAGTTTCTAAAGGCAAATGGCTCAACCGGTATCTAAGCCCGAAAAAAATTACGTTATTATTTTAATTGCATTTCTTTTACTATTTGCATAATTAATATTAACTTGCTCTAATACAACCCTTATTTTCTTTGTCTGTGTTTTGCGAGGCACCTTTTGGGAAAGCAAAGAAGAAGGGATCATTTGGAGTCGTTGTGATAATGGAGCTTACATAAACAAATTATTCACCCCATTCATTCTGGTGGGGGTGCTATGGGCGGAACCACTAGGTCATAGCCCCCGGTTCTGTAAGTTTTTTGAAACTTAGAAAGTCCCTGTAAATACACGTATGAAATATACGAGTGTGTTTCATGCTTCCCAACCTTATGACCCTATAGAAAATTCAACTATTAGATTATTCTCTTTATCTTATGTTATTTATAGATCCATAAACTCATTGATACACAAATGAATGTCCAAAGGGTTAGAAATAAACTTCCTTTCGTCCTCTATAACACTAGTAACACCTAAGGATAAAAATTATGAACCGAGTCTTAGATAACATAGACTTAGGATGCATGCTCCCTATAGGATAGAGACATTGAAAATAAAAATTTTAGTGACATATTTTCCTAGGTTTAGTGTGCTATAACTTAATAATAATCAACCAACAAAATCAATCATAATCCAAGTTAAAATGCATTAAAACACTTAAATTTTAATTAAACCATAAATAATATGTAAACCACTAAAATGAAAACTTGAACATAATCTTAAACTAAGCCTAATCAACCCATTAATTAACCTCTAATAAACCTAAAACTTAAAGGATGTGGACTAAATTAGGAGAGCAAAAATACACTAAAACTTAATAAAATAAAAGACCTCTAAAACCCAGAACTTAATCAAGCCTTAAGCTAATATTTTAAAATCAATCAATGAACCCTTTAATACATAACAATTACTCCAAATATGAAGTTTTATGGATGAACTACTCTAGGCTACGGGACTAAGTGTCCTAAGAAGGCCTGATTTCTCGAGTCTGGTGGCACAACGCCACGAATGAATTCAATGGAGTGTTAAAACTTTAAAATTAATTGATTATTAATGATTTAAAATAAATAAAACTCTTAATATAACTATATCAACTAGGTTTTTAGAATGGTCTATTCCAGGCTGTGGGGCTAAGTGTCTTAAGGAAGCCTGGTTCCTCGAGTGGTGGCACAACACCACAAACTGATTAATAGCAAACTTAACTAATTTAACCCCTTAATTGATAATAAATCACTTAATTCACATTTCTTTTAAATTTACAATAAACTAAATTAACTTAAAAAAATTGTTTAACACTAGGTAAACCAAGCATACGAGACTATTAAGTTAACCTTAAGGAGGGTGAAATAAACTTCACGAACTCGGTGAGCAACAAAGGTGGTAATCAAATAAATACTAAAATAAAATTCTTAAAATTAATCTTAAAATATTAATACTTAAACTTAAACTAAAATTCCTCCTTAATCTTTAACAAATCAAAATGCAAATAAAACTACAGGAAAAACGTCAATTTTCGGCGTCAATTTTTTGTCAGAAAATGGAAAAAATCCGTCGTTAATAAGTATTTCCATCGGATTTCCGAAGGAAATATTTACGTCGGTTCGACGCGCATCGAAAAAGTGTTATCGGCATAAAACTTTCAGCAGGAAAATTTTGTCGCGAAATGCTGGCGAAAAATTCGTCGGAAATATTTCCGACAAAAATAAAATGCGTCGTAAATTAAAAGAAATGAAAAAAAAAATTTCATTCCAACTGAAGCACTCCTCCTCACGCCCATGACTCGTGACCCGCCACCCCGCCGTCCAGCCAGCTGGGCTCACCCGCCCATGACCCGTGACCCGCGACCCGTCTGTCTCAAACCATTGACCCGTGACCGGCGTGACCCACAACGCATGGACATAGAGGGGTTCGAACCCCCGTCCTTCAACAATTTTGCTCTCCACCAGGCCACCTTTGCAAAATGAATAAAAATGTGAGATATTTTATATTTATATTATTACAGACACTAAGTATTATTTAAAATAGTTAATATATTAAAAGTTTAAAATAATTAATATATTTAATATAATTTATTTACAATATTTATAATGTGAGTTTAAAATATAAACTTAATAAAATTCAAACTAATTAAATT